ATGGATCTGAGGGCATGAGGAGAATTTAGACACTCAGAGGAGCACACATTCCAAATAAGAGTAGCCATTACTACAGAAAGTCACAAAAGGGGTAAACACCAGGAGTGCTTTGGGACACCTGGGTAGCTCAGAGGTTGAGCGTCTGCCTTTGGCTCAGGTGGTGATCCTGGGATCCAGTCCCACAATCAGGCTCCCCACAGGAAGCCTGCTTCTTCTCTCTCTGCCTATGTCTCTGCTTTTCTCTGTGTCTCTCATCAATAAATAAAATCTTTAAAAACAAACAAACAAATAAGAGTGCTTTAAACATCAAGAAGGAAAATGAAGCTCACCAAAGCTGAGTATGGATTTGGTAACCTCAGATTAATTGCTGGAACAGGAGGATATAGGGAACGGGAGATGCAAGGAGAGGCCTCCATATACTTGATGCAGTCCTCCTGGATTAATTAGCATTTAACTAATTTTTGGCCTGTGTACTATGAATGCAAACTCACTTTGAAATACTCAGTTCTCTCCTCCTGGAACAGTGGAAAGGATGCCAGAAAATGAAAAGGTAAACTTTCTTTTTTCCTGCAAAAATAGCCTGCTAGAGTGGAATACAGGTAATCAAAATCAACTTGCATCTCATCTCCAACTGTCCCTCTTTCAGTGGGGGTACTAAGTGGTGGCTTGGAGGAACCAGAGGGGCAGGGAGACACTTCAGATCCATCCTTCAATTCTAATTTCTATCAGCTGCTCTCAGACACTCTAGACACAATCTACAGAAACAGTACACTTGCTAAGCGAGTGTAACCTCAAAAGAGGTATCCCCCACCCCAGTCTGCCCCACCAACGAGATGCTACCCCCAAGCCACATAGAGAAACTGCCCTCCTTACTGATTTCTTAAATAGTACCTGTGAAATCAGTTGCCTCTAAACTGAGCTCTGGGGAAACCACTAAGGACAGATTCTGTGAGTGTTTAGGATACATATTCACTTGGAAGATTTCCTCTTTTACCAAGTTAGAAATTGTAATGCCAAAATCACTGACAGCAGTCCACATCTCTTATTCAAAGAAGAAAAATCACAAAACCGAATAGAAGAATTTTCATTTTGACCATGCCCTCTAGAGTTTGAACGAGTTTGCTAACCTAAATTGGCAAAGTTGCTTTGTTTCCTTCAATAGAAGGATAGACGTAAAACTCAGAAACACCAGGAGCATGACATGAAGCCAGGGAGGGCCCCACAGAAGTTACAAGCTCTGTGATTATTTCCTGAACCAAACACCTAAGGCTTACAGTGGTACCAAGCTTTGTTGGAAAAGCTTGTTTCCCCTGATCCAACAGCTGTAACTTTTTAAGTGATTTCACAGAAGACCTCAAGATTCTCAAGCCAAAGCCACTCTTTATAACATCCCCAAAATATTTACACAATGAAACACTTTCAATCTTAACCATGTTTTGTTTGTAAACACCTTATTTGTTCTGAAGACCACAGTACCAACACTAAAAGCAGCCTTTTAAACAAAGTAGCTCAAATAAAACCACACACAGACACACAGGCATTCTTAACACCCAGAGCCTATCCACAGAGCAAGAAAGCCAGGATTCAAATTCCTTGGCACCTACTCACTAAGCTCCTGTAAGCACCACCCAAGGACATGACCCACTGCACCCTCGCTACTATCACGCCTCCTCACTAATTTATACTTCTGAAAACCTACAAAATCTGACTGTTGGATGATAAACAAAATGTTACAAATATTGGACAAATGTTCCCTACCCCATTCTTCTCTCACAGTAGCCAGCATGGGACAACTGATCCTGTTTATGGGGAAACTACCATCCACCCACCCCCACCCTCAGTCCCAGGAAAGAGCCATTGTCCAGCTCCTCTACCCAAATGGTGCCTCGGTTGCCAGAAGTGGCCTGGCAAAACCTATAATTATCTTTGCCTTGATGTCTGTCTGTCTGTCTGCCTCTCTATTTTGTTGTATACCTCCTGGGAAAGTTATCTGGGTCAAGGATAGTACAAGAGAAATCTAGAAATATAGAAATATTTGCTTTGGTGTAATAACTGTATTAAGAGCTATAACAAGAACTTTAAGGAAAAAAAAAAAAGTCTGTGAGTGTATGTATTCCAAAAGCAAATAATTACAAAATACATCCATTTCAAACACATGGCCTTTTATACTTTATAGTTTTCATTTATGCTGAGATGAAGCTACTTCACAGAAAGCTACAGGAATATTACAATTGATGCCAGAACTATCAATGGAAAGGATGAAATCTTGAATCTCCAATCATGTTTCTACTACTAACTCAACAAATACTTATTAAATACCTACCAATGGTCAAACACTAACTGCTAGAGAGGTAGAGAAGGACAAGACAAGGACTCTGCCCTCAAAGACCTTAGGGGAGTGGAAAAAAAAAGCCACACATTAGAACTGCTGTCAGAATTATAGGGACACAGGAAATAAAACAAGTAACAATGATAAGTTCTAGGACAAAACTAAAAACTGAGTGACAATTTCTGACTCTGTTTCCTCCTGAAGATGTAACCACCTACTCAAAACAAGATGATGAATGTCAACCACCTGGCACTCAGCATCCCCAAGCAATTACCTGCACATAAATGCACATGCATACACACACTCACAGATAAAGCCTTTTCCCCCTTTATCTGCAATATCTGTGATAATCCACCTTGGTATGTAATAAAAGCAGAAAGGAAGCAAAATATTTGTGTAATTCCATTACACTTAGTGCAATTAAATTACAAATAATTGCATTCAACAAGAATCTGTAAAAAGGCAAAACCTAAGCAATTAATTCTAAGCTAAAAGGATAACTAGAAGTCCAGATACAGGGATAATACTAGTAATATTAGAAATATTATTACAAATAGTAACGTGACTGCCTTGCCCCGTTTGAAGGACTGCCATGAAGAGCCAGGTTCCTTTGCCAGTCAAGTCATACAAGTAAGGCTCAGAGATATTAACTCAAAGCCACAGTGTCAGAAGCTGAATTTAACTCATCATCAGATTATTTTGAGAAAAGACAATGACCAGGTCCCTCTGTAGAGTCGCCAAGATTTTATGCCTAGGATCAACTTTGGGAAACCCCATCTATCCCTCCACCACATTACTACTGCCCAAGGTCCCCTGAGGTACAGGGTTAACCCCAGGGTGGGGCAGCCAGCAATGACACAGGCAGAGCAAGATTCAGGCCTCCTAGATCTCTGCCCAGTCTGCCTCATTTTCAAGGACCTGCATCCTTTAGGCAGGCGGCAGGCTTTTAGATTTTATGAGAACCACAAGGGATGATACTGACTTCCAGAATTCAATTTCAGTCATTAGTTGTCCCTATAAATTTCCAGAGAGCTGCACCCAGAGCAAATGGAGGCCCATCACTGGTGGCCTGACTCTCTTCAAGCAAAACAGAGGACACGCCCTCCTTGAGAAAGCTGCCTCTAACCCAGTCAGGTACATTATTAGGAAAAGTATGCATCTAGCCTGTAAGGCAAAAGAGATCATTCCATTGTAGTTTTCAGAGCTTGCCTCAAGAAACAGGCTCCGAACTCTGACTTCTACAGAGGGGAGAGTCCAGGTACGGGCACACAGAGTGGGGTAAGGGGTTTTGAACTGCGTCCAAGCTACTTGGGAGAGAACGGCGAGAGGCCTGGACTGTGAAATGCGTGAAGTAGGGAGAGCAGCTGGGCCCGGAACGAGCATTTGAACACACCCACTGGCCACGCCCTCCCAGCTGCCCGCAGAGCCACATCGAATTGAAACAGCAGTGGGAGCAGTTAAGATTCCGACGGCAGGAGTCGCCATGGCAACGGGATTCATCTTGCAGACAAACTCCGCTTCAATTCACTCGGTCCTTCTCCAGTCTCAGGCAACCACCAACTCAAGGAGAGCAAAAACGGTCACGGGTAGCATTTGCTCTTGACGCTCTCTGGCGGGTGGAGATCGGACGGGGGACCGAGGCGGAGGAAATAAAGCGTTGGTATCTATTCCTGGGCCCACTAAAATATTTTTAGAAGGGGGCCGGGGGCGGGGGAGCAGAACACCCCAACGCCAGGCTGTGAACAACTTAAGAGCCATTCGCAGGGTTTGATGAATGAATATGATGAAAAGAATGAGGGTGCTAGCTAGGGAAAGGAAATCCAGAGGACTCTATTCATGTAGAGCTCTCGGGCCTCGCGCGCGTCTCAAGTAGGAGGGCAAGCCCATTCCAAGCAGTGGGATTTTCGACACCAGCTGGTTCCTATTGCCCAGCCCTCCTGCCCCACAGCGAGCCTCATCATTGGATTATTCGACACCCCGCACCGCCTCACCACCTCCCAGCCCAGGGTTTGGGGCAGATGCTCCCCCCTCGCTCAGGTGCTCTTTGTGGCGGGCGCGATCGGAGCCGGGGGAGCCGAGATGCGCCCTTCCCCGCGGGGAGAGGCGGGAGCGCCCCGCGACGCCACGAACCCGATCCGCAGGCGGCGCAGCCTCCGCTCCCCGCCGTCCGCCAACACCCCCCTGCTCCTTCCGCAGCGCGAGGAGTTTCCCTCCTCTCCAGGGAGACCTTTGGCTTCCAACTTTTTGGGAATTAGTCACCCCGTCCCTTTCGAATAAACCTTGGAGTGAGGACTGCAGCGATGTTCGGGGTTCTGCTCGGACGCGGGCCGGCGGGTAAACGAGTCCCTCCTTCCCTGTCGCCACCTCCGAGTCCACCGCGCCTGCCTCGGAGCCTCCCGGGCGGGCAGCTCCGGACCGCGGCAGGGCCCGCAGCCCCCGGCGCCCCAACGCCGCGGCAGGGCGGCGAGTGGTACCCTGCCTGCCCTCTCGGCATCCCAGCGACTCAGAAAGAAAGGAGGGAGGGACCCCTGTCTCCGGGGGCGCCTTCCCCGGGCTCGCCTAGCTTTTCGCCGCGCTTGCAGCCATTTTCCCAAACCCAGCTTGGCAGCTGGGAGCTGTCTAGGTCCCGTTCCCACCCAGACCCAACCTGAAGGACGGGTTTAATATTTACCTACTGGCCCTGGGGCTCCGGAGAGGCAGCGGGAGGGCGCGCCGCGAACCCAGCGCTCGGCCGCAGGAAGCGCGCCCACCCCCGCGCCACCGCGCGGTGCTACTTAATGAATGAGTGCGGCGGGCGAGGCGGCACGTCCCCCTTACCTGAGCAGCCCCTGCATGCTGGAAAGGCGGCTCTGCGCTCCGGGTACAATGGGATCCGGTTAAACAGTTTCCTTCACAGCCGCCCGTAGGTTACCAACTCGCAGGTGACATCACCCTCTCCTCGCCTGATAGGATACAATGTGGCGCCCACTGCGCATGGACTCCCCAGCTGGGCCCGCACACCCCTGGGAGTTGTAGTCTCGCTCTCGCAAGCACAGGCTGGGCGGCTACGCTAAGTGGGGCTCGCAGAACTACACTTCCCGACGTATCCCTCGGCCGCTTCGTCCCCACCCCTTGGTCCCGCCCCCACCGGGACCCGCCCCCCCTCCCCGCCCTCCAGCCTCGCAGCGTTAGCGGTGGTCGTTCGCGAAGCCGACCTGCGGACAGCGCCTGCGAGGGCGGGTAGGGGGAGGGCACCCAGCGGTCGTGCCCTTTGACTTGACCTCCACTCCGCCCGCTGCCGGCTCCGAGGGCCACCAGGGGTCCGGCGCTGGTGCGCACGGGCCGGGCAGCTCTGACCAACCCGGCTCTTGGCCCCTGCTGGAAAGAGAAGATGAAGCCTTCCACCGCCTTCCCTGCGCGTAGAAACTAATTAGTAGGACGCACTGGTTTCTGGGTTAAAAGCGGTCCCGGAATTCCCCCGCGTCCCCGACGATGAGGCGGTGCCGGCCCCGAAGACGGGGATCGCCGTGTGCCCCACTTAAGTACGATTCACCTTTCCGTCCTCTCTCCTTCCCCCATTTAACGGAGTCCGGTGACCAACCAGAACGCAGGGACCAGCCTAGTTGGCTGAGCTGGCGGGATAACGGAGGCTGTCACTGATAAAAATGCGGTGTAATCGACAGTCGCTGCAACCCTCGGTCCGGGAGCCTGCCGCGGCGGCAGAGATAGTAGTATCGCGCGGCCATGCTTTTGTTCTTCCCTGCAGCTGACTTCCCGCTCCCACGGCTCTCCACTCCCGGGAGGACGACGTCCTTGTTAAAGTTTTAATGGACGACACATATGTACACATGGGCTTTTAGATCCGCAACACTCTCCCCTCATTTCCCATACCTTTCTCTAAAATATTTTTTAGATGACCGAAGCCAAACAACATCGTGCTGTTCATGAATGCCAAGATCTTAATACAGGCAAAGGTTTAGTTAAAGGTAAGCGAAAGGTGTTGTAGCAGAGATCTGACCCTTCAGGAAGATCTTATTTCGCATTCAGTATGCGCAATTTTTCCGTGACCTTTTTCATTATTCAATGAATATCAAGTATTATCAAAAATTAACACCGAGAGCAAATCTCCAGGTGTCTTTTTAAGTGAATAGAAGAAATCAATTCATCTAGTTAATCCAGTTGTAAATTATAATGGCACTTGATGTGTCTCAATCACAAATAAGGATCAGCTCAAATCCTTATTTCCACTAGCAAAATCGCTAGAAGACTGTAAATCTTGTGGGGGAAAAAAAATTCACGATAAGGATTTCAAACAACTCCACCTAATTATTGGCGGAAAGCTCATCACTCTTATTTTCTCATTTCATTATGCAACACTTACTTGGGTTCAAGAGAAAAATATTCATGGAAGTGGTTGAGGATCTCAGGGGAGAGAGAGAGAGATGCTTTGTTTTGCTGAGAGAGGAGTTTTAGTGCTGAATTCTGATTTTCTTTTAACAAGCCTATTTCTTACAGACCAGACACATTTTTCTCCACTGAAGGAAGATAACTTTGAATGTTCTGAGCTATTCTATCCATTTCAAATATTGTTCAATGGAACCCAGACAATGCAAATGTTCCCTTGGCCATCAGATCAAGAGTATAATCAGTGATATTCTAGTTAATGGGTAGGCTCAATGTGTTACAGCTCATTGTGGAAAAATATTCAGAAAGAAACTTGACCTGAAATGATTCTAAAGGCTCTCCAGTTTTATAACTGTGTAAAGCTTTTAGATGGAAACATAATCAGTGAGCCTGAAATTTATTGAGTCAATAAATTGGATGTGGAGACTCTCTGTAAGGCAGGGCTCATCCTTATAGATAAAAGTATATTATTGAGGTATACTCTGAGGAGTAACTTTTTATAGGACAAATCACTTTGCACCAATTTCTCTTGGGTCTTCAGCAATGAAGGAGAAGATGGAGCCTGCCTGCAGAAAAAAAAAAATCCATTTTCTATAGCAATTAATATAGGGATGTGCCATGTTACACAGCTCCTTTCTAAGTATAAAGGACGTCATACAGTAGACTCTAAGCACAGAAATGTGTGAATGCACACGTGTGAGCTGTCCTTCCTATTCAATAGAAATAAATATAGGTAACAAATACAGAAAGTAAGGTATTATATTTGGGAGCATTTTTCTGTAAGTGGTGACGGATTTGAACTGATCCCTGCATGCTGTTTCATTGGTAACCAGGGGAAACAAAGATGGCTCTTCAGCATCAGAAATGCAGTCTGTGGATGTGGGACCAGAGGAGGATTAACAACTTCTATCTAGACAGAAGGGAACTACTGTCTCTCTCTACCTCTCTATGAGATGCTTGCACATACATTCACATACTCTCATTGTATGTGTTTGTATTTAATTCTAAGTGACTAAGTAGTCTCCTGAGACATCAAACACACCCACTCTGTCTAGCTTAATTTATATGCTCAAAGGGTTTCTTTGCTTTTTTTTTCTTTTCTTTTTAAATGATTGCTGTTGTTCTAGAATGATCTTATGAAAGACCCTGTCTTGCCCCCATAATCATTGCCTATTAATTAGGAAGCTGTGGGACTACTGAGAATAGATTTAATTGACCATCTACAGGTGGAGGAGGGGGAAGGTAATGCCTTGGGGTATTTTGCTGATCTTTCAAAATAACCTCTCTCAGTTCTGGTTACAAGGTTTTACTCTACACTTTGGGTTTTAGATAAGGGAGGAAATGGGAGATATAAACAGAGAAAGAATTTTAAGTTTGTAGCTTTGCATGTGTTTTCACACAATAGTTTGGTGTTTGCAACAATTGAAGTTATGTGCTAAGCCCAGGTTTGGGATCATGCCATTTTACCACTTTTGAGCGACATGACTTTGCTTATTCTGTGTTGCTTACTCTCCTCTGCGCCTCGATTTCCTTATTCTTAAAATGGAGTTAACAGTAAAACCTACTTCACAAGACTTTTGAGCACTAAATTAGATGAGACATATAAAAACACTTCTGACATTGAAAATTCAGATACTAGTTCTTGTTATCATTTGCAATTTTCCCCTGGAGATTATCTCAAATCACCACCCTTAATTATGAAATGATAAAGAGCTACTTAAATTTTTAAAAATGTGTTAACAAGAAACTATTAGAAATTATATAGCGAGCACATATTATATCACTAATTTGTAAGTAAACAAAATGTACTTTGAAGAACAAAACATGAGAAATCCACATTGAACAGTGCTAGTCCTTGGCTTGTTTTCAGATCCATGCCTTGTCCTTACTCACTACCCCAAGCTGTCCTCACTATCACAGATCATCTTCCCCAGACTCCTGAGCAGAGAGAGGCACTGCTGAGAGGTTAGAAGCAATAGAAAGCATGAGACCAGGGTACTTCTCCATTTCCACTTCCACAGAGTAACATTGGATGATGTTTCTGGCAAGGGCAGCAGCATTTCCCATGTTTTTCCCATGTTTCCCATCAAGGTTGGACCTTCTTCCACTTCACCCCAGCCTCTGTTAATGCCACTTTCTCCCCTTGTCCTTCCAGCGTAGGGGTAGAGGTAGCTTCCTGCTGTTGCTAATCTCTTATTGCACATTTGGCTTCTCAGACTTCCTAACACCCCATGACCAATTCCCTGTACTGTATTATATCTATTTTAAATACTTCGAATGGTTTTTGTTTTTCTGGTGGGACCCGTAACTGATATACTTGTGTCTTAGTTCTAGTTCTTTTAGGAGCAGGCAACAGAAACTTTTCTGTGGCCAATTTATGGAAAATAAAGTAATAGGATTAAGTGACAGGATTAAGTAACCAAGGTTCCACCTACAAGCAGGAACTGACCAGCTCAGAGAACTGAAACAGTGGTAGTTTTTGGAACTTCTCTTCAGAGGGCTGCTTTAACAGCCCTCAGTCTCCACATCTCTTTGTTCCAAGTCACAAATTCCTGAGACAAGCTGATAGCCCTATCTCAGGGTGACTATCCCTGAGTTAATTATCTACAGCAGTGGTTCCCAAAGTGTGGGGCCCCAGATCCAAAACATCAGTATCACCTGAGAACTTGTTACAAATGCAAATGCCCGGGGCCCTATCCACAGATCCACTGGCAAAGAAACTGTAGAGATGGATCCCACAAACTGTGTTGTTAGAAGTCCTCCAGCTGATTCAGACCTGCATGAAGGTTTTGGAACCACTCCTCTAGAGAGAAGATGATCTTGTCATCTTAGATATGGTCACTCAGGACCTATTCCTGTGTGTCTGGGAGTCTTCCCAGAGAGGGAAAGGTGTTATGAATTTTGCAGCCACCTCAAGAGGTACTGGTAAAGCTGGCAAGTCTGGTCAAGGTCTTAATGGTAAAATTTGGTTCTTCCTAAGGGAGAGGACTTTGTAGTATTCTGAGCTAACTAGTCAATTTAGTCACAGCAAAGTCACTTGGAAAAGATTCATTTCGTTGTGTTTACTTAAGAACACAGAAAAGCTGAAAAACCAGCATTGGGGCAGTACAAGGGAGATGCAATCTTACAGAAATCTAAGAACAGGAACAATAATAAAATTAGACCACTGTAAGAGGGGACATGAAAACAGCTCCAGCCACTCAAAACTCTTCAGACCAGTCTCATCTCAACAGCTCCTGGGAATTTAGAAACAGAAACTCTCCTTTGAGAGGCACCTGGTTGACTCAGTTACTAGAGCAGGTGACTCTTGATCTCAGTGTCATGAGTTCTAGCCCCACGTTGGGTATAGAGATTACTTAAAAAAAAAATTAAAACTTTAATAAAAAAAAAAAGAAGAAACTCTCCTTTGACTATCTTAGCTAGGAT